CCTTTAATTCTTTCTGGGAAACTGCCCACCTACCCCTCCCTTAAGCCAACATTTTTCCCTAAGTAAGAAGTAAGTGTTAATGTTGGCTTGGGAGAGGGGTAGGTGGGCGGTTTCCCCTAAACGTATAATGATCCACTTTGTTTAAGGCAGACGCTTCCGGCCCTAAAACGGACACTTGGTATGCTTGTCCTAATGCTGTCCGTCTTAGACAGGATCCGACTGCACTTCACTCCTGTCTCTCAGACAGCAATCATTCCACTTGTGTTTTTAGATGGTCCATTTAGCTTGGTTTGTTGTATTTCATTGTGGTGTGATTGAGGAGGGGGAGGTGTAACGCCCACAGTCATAGTAATTGTATTGCCAACCTGGTCACTGATGTCTTCACCTCCTGCATTAAGACCAACAAACAAAATTTTAGAAACTTACGTCATTAATTACTCTAATTACACTAATAATTAGCTTCATCCAGTCTATTGCAGAATTCGACGATGGTTTAAACGAACGTCACGATATTCAATAGAAATAAAACCAACATAATAAATAGGACATCCATGAAGAACTTATAGAATGAACAGCCAGTGTAAATTGAAATGGAGATCTACCCCAGTCTTGGGGAAATTGAGTCGTCATCGTCGCCATCTTATTACTTCAGGAACTAAGAAAATTAAGTATTTGAGAATCCAATATACTTAACTTTTCGTAAATCTTCGCCCCTGAAATCTAAATCTGGCTAACCTGGGTAATTTGACAACTCGACAAGACTGCATCGAATACCTTAAAACGCCCAAAAGGACGTTTGGAGTTTAGGTTGTTAGCAACAAATAATAGCAGCAAGGTCACTGACTTATTCCGGAACGCTACGCAGCATTCTGTATTCAAATTTAGGTACTTTTCTAGCTATATAGGAAACCTCATATATTCAAGTGGACAGTCTTTGGCCCGGATTCAACAAGCTTTAGTCATTCAATTTCCTTGCAGAATGCAATTGTTGTGGAGCGATGACGTAGAAGGATTTACACCTTCTTGAATCCGGCGTCTGAACACCCCCCAAGGGGAGGGGGGTCCTGCCATATATGGGCTATATAGGTATGTGCCGCTGTGAAGGGTATGGTTTTCAAGCAGTTTACTCTAGGATAGGGTATATAAATCAGGACATTTGGGTCTAGAATAGGGTATCATTTTCAGAAAACTGATCTGCTGGTTGTAACCTGAGATCGGGCCCAATTTGAGCGGTTCTCATACATTCTCTCTAACGGCTACCGCTAAAATTGGGCCTGATCCAAAGTCATTCACGTTTGTGCTTGTTACGGCCAGATTTTGGCCGTGACACTGATTGGCTGTTAGAACAATGCCACAAGATCTGATTGGCTGTCGGAAACGCCGGAAGTTGAATGCGCTTATTCCTCGCGTGGTTCTTTTTGTGAATGATCCGTCGTCGGCGGAGAGAAGCATCGATTTTGGCGTCTTTGTTATTGTTTTATGGTCTAATGGTAGGAAAATATGCCTTAATATGTGCCATGGAAATTGAGAAAATTCATATGGTTGTTCATATCTTCTCAGGATTTGCTTCATTTACGGAAAGTGAGTGTGTCGCGGAGTTGAATCCCTCTGCAAGTTGTTGACCGCTAACAAGGTGCCTTTTGATTTGCCAACAAACGGGTGCAAATCAAAATACTGTCCATCTTAAAACTGGTTCCATTTGAAAGTTTAGCCGGGAATGACCTCTCTGAACGGGGTACGCAAGCGGAGGCTCACTGCGATAGAAACCTCAGTCGCCAACTGTGAAGTATTAGACGAAAAATATCGCATCGCTGTTCAATGAATTTTTAGTGTTAACAGACTGGTTGTTTGCCTTCGCTTTTTGTAAAAAATAAACCAGGAAAACTGGTGTCTTCGCTCGTTGGCTGTTTACTTTTGTTTTTAAAGATTTATGTACTGAAAATCGGGGAAAAGTGCCGAGGAAAATATTAAGGCAACGGAAAAATAGAAATTTCAGTATTTTAAATTCGAGCGCGCCTAGCTAAAATAATGAAACTAGTAGAACATCGCGTCGCCATCTTTTCGAAAACTTTTTACCTTCTACGCCAACAGAAATAACCTTCGAGATCTCCCTTAATCTCGCAAGAGGTTAAATGTGATTATGCTGACTGTTTTATTTTTAGCTGAAAAAATTAACAGATAATAGCTATTTTTTAAGTCAGCCAGTCTGCATTTCTCCCACGCGTGAAAAATTTGCATACTAGAAAAACAAGCAACGGAAGTAATTTTGGTTGGCTGATTCGGTAAATGTCAATCAATCAAAAAAGTGGGCGGCAGACGTTTCGTAGAAGGTTTGTATCAGGCTCTCTTTTCGTCTCGCCATACCCGCCGGAATGTTATTTACAAAGCGAAACGAAAATAGAGCCTGATCTCAGGTTAAGTCGGTTGAAGATTTTATCTAAAGTAGGGAAACAGCTACTCTAGGATAGGGGAACAGGGGTCTCTTTTGCATGAGCATGCGCGACCGCTGACTTGTCAAAGAGCACGCGACCAGTGACAGCGACCGTGCCGCATAGTCATAGGAACCAAATTGTTCACTTTGAAAGGTTGCTTGATATTGAAATGGTAGCAGGAACTTAGGAAAGACCTCCGTTGTACAAAATAAGTAGAGATCTCTTGATTTAAAGTGGAGACTGATGCGCTGAACAAGGTGAAAGAGCAAGTTTCTCAAGGATGTCTGACACGAACATAGCTGCTTGTTGTTGTTTGGCGCTCGACTCGTGTCTTGATTCCCCTTTAAGAACCGCAAAGTTTGGCATAGAATGCATTGGTGATGCGTAGCTATTGAGCAAAATGTTCTTTATTTAGTGTTTGTCTATAAATCGGATGTAAATCAGTTTCTCGATGCCGTAGAGGATGTCTGTCAATAATTTGCTAATAGCTAATTTAGCCATATTTCGGGAGTGGATTAATAACGATCAGCGGGCGACTACCACGCCGTTTTCAGTTGGAATAGAAAGTTTTGCCTTAAGTATTTTAGCGATACAAAGTTTGCTTATATGAAAATTGTAGAACTTCTTGTATTTGCGTGGACTAACATTGTAACGCATCTTATACAGGAATTTGCTTTTCGCCAGAACTTAAATGTTCTAATGATTTTTAACTTTTGGTTGGCATCACATGTTTACTGTACTTCTTGGGAAACCTAACCGTTTGTTTCGTCAAAATC